TGGTATTGTGCTGGTCTGGGCTTCTATGATCATACTTTTTAGAGTTTCCCAAGATTCTTGAGTTGTTTTCCCCTTTAGGATTTTCATCCATGGAATCTTTCCCAAGTTCTCTCTGAGTTTATTGAAATCAGCTCTTTTAAAATCCAAGACTCTGGTGTCATTATGTTCTGTTGCTTGTGTTTGTGTTATGTTGAATTCTAGTATGACATAGTCACTCTCACCCAAGTTTCCTGCAGTTTCAACTCCCTCTATCACTTGTTCTCTGTTTGTAAGAATTAAGTCAAATATGGCTGTCCCTCTAGTTTCACCCTCTACTTTTTGGACAACAAAGTTGTCAGCTAGGTTGGTTAGGAACTTATTTGATTTCTCACTTGGTGCAGAATTAGTTTTCCAATTGATATCAGGATAATTGAAGTCTCCCATTACTATTGTTGTGTGTTTCCTGCATATGTTAGTTGGCTGGCAAAAAGGACATCTATATTTTCTGCTTGATTAGGTGGCCTATAATATACACCTATGGCCATGTCATTCTTTTTTTCTTTCATATTGACCCATATGCATTCTAGGTGGTTTTCACCTTTGGTTTCATGCATTTCTGTAGCAATATAGTGGTCCTTGACATGCAGTGCAACTCCACCTCTTCTTTTATGGGGTCTTTTGAATAGTTTGTATCCTACCAGTATATTCCAGTAATGGCTTTCATCCCACCAAGTTTCTCTTATTCCAACTATATCCTATTTACCTTCATGTATTCGTAGTTCTAGTTCACCCTGCTTGTTCCCCAGACTTTGTGCATTTGTATATAGGCACTTGTGATCTTTATGTCTGACACTGTGTTTACTGTCTCCATAACCTGTGTTGTGCCTGCCTGCCCCTACTTTCTTGCCACCTGTTTGATTAGTGCACATGGTATGGCACTCACTATTAAATGCTTGGTTTTGGTTGGCATCAAGGTTGATAATCTTACCTGCACAAAAACATCTATTTTGCATGTACTGGTATCCTTATTAGTTTTAGGTTGCTGGGGACAGAAATGTTCTGAATCCATTAATTCTCTGTCCCCACTGTTCAGTTTAAATGTTTATCCAGGAAATCTGTGAATTTAATGCCAAGTAACTCAGTCCGTTTCTTTGATGGATGCAAACCATCTCTTGTACAGTTTTTCATTGGACCAGCTGCAGACATCATGAATAATAAAACCAAAACGTTCCTTTTACACCGCTCCTTTAGCCACATATTAAACTCTGCTACACGCTGCCCTTTCCCTTTTTGTTCCTTGTATACTGGTAGAACCTCTGAAAAGTACTAAGATGTATATATAATAGCATCAACATCACAGCCCTTGCTGGCATTCTTGACTATCTTAAAAATACGCTTCTTGTCTCTGCTGGCAGTAGCATCTGGTAGACACCTGACCTCTTTCAAAACCTCAGTATTCTTTCCTAAATTTACATCCCTTACAATTTAGTCCCCAACCAGAAGGTGGCTTCTCTTTTTGAATGCCTTGTTCTTCTTGTGTGACTGGTGCGTAATACCTGATTCACACTTTCTCCTTTCCAAAGTAAGTTCTTCTAGGACCATGATCCCTGGCTTACTTAAGTTATCATTATCACAACTGCCTTGACCTGTCACTTTAGTGTCCCTATTAAGGTCAGCAAGGGCATTGTATCTGTTATGCTGGGACACAGCAAAAGTTTTGTGTTTCTGGTCCACAGCTCTCACCCTACCAGGTCCCACGGTTGTCCATGCTGCCCTTTTCCTGTAGGATTTTTGTGGTAGTGGGGGCTAGTAGCACGGCAGCTCAATAGACGGCTGGATTGGGCACCTAATTTCTGCTTGGAGAGCACAGATTAGAGATTTTAGATAGGTAATCTGTCCATGTAGACTGGTAATTTTTTTACAAAGAGGACAGTATCCAAGTTTGAAAAGAGTACTGCGAAAGACAGCTGTAAAACAAGTATTACACTGAACTAAACCAGTCATTTTGAAATTAAATAAAATCACAATCTCAAGTGCACTTACTCTAAATGTCTTATTGGTATTCTTGGTTTATAGTTATATGATTAGCGCACCGTTAGGCGCGCGGGCCGCTATCCTTCTCCTTTCTATTCACCCTCTGCTTCCTTCAGAAGCAGCCTGCAGCTCCTCCCACAACCTCCAGGAATTTGAAATGCAATGGAAGCAATTCAAATAATAATAATAATAATAATAATAACAACAACAACAAATTAGCCTTTGTGGTTGCTTCTGGGTTGAATACTCTGCTCCTTGTTTTTCAGCATCTGCATGAAGTCACTGAAGATCACCCATTGGTTCAGGATAATTACAAGTACAATAATGATACCAAATTATACATAAGTCATCATCTCCTGTGTCTAGGTCAAACTTTAAATTGACAGAATGAAGCAACCTTCTTAATTTTGTTGTTGGTCCAAAATAAGTCATTATTGGTACATGCGTCTAGTAGTAGTTGACATACCAGATGAACCAAGCTCTGCATCTGTCCATATTCACACATATGGTATAAGTGCCCAGAGATGAATAGATGTCATGGAGGTTCTTAGGAATACTTGAAGACTGTAAAGGATTGGATAAGACAGACAAGTTAGACAGAATCCCAAGAAAAAAGCGCTGTTTATGTAGCAATGACGTTGTTGACTGATCTCCTTACTAGTCTTGGGAGGCATCCATTACTTGGAAATGTTCCTGAATCAGCAAATGGAAATTATGATAAGGAGTGTCTTTGTCTTGCTATACCTAGTGCAGTTTTTAGGCAGAAAATTTTGGCAATAATAACTCCATGGCCTTATTACCTCTACATTTAATTACCGCAACACACTCAGAATTGCCCTTGAAGTCTACCCAGAAACTGCTATTGGTATATAGTACAATAGTAATAGCATTACCATTTAGACTTATATACTGCTTCACAGTGTTTCACAGCCCTCTCTAAACGGTTTAGAGTCAGCCTATTGCCCCCAACAATCTGGGTCCTCATTTTACCCACCTTGGAAGGATGGAAGGCTGAGTCAACCTTAAGCTTGGTGAGATTTGAACTGCCAAATTGCAGACAGCCAGCACTCAGCAGAAGTAGCCTGCAGTACTGCACTCTAACCACTGCGCCACTGCAGCTCTTAGCTCACATACAGTTCAATACCTTCCAAGGAGGTATAGTTCAAAGGAATGACATGTCTTTGATTAGCAGCTCAGGTTGGTAGTTAAGTTGTTGGTTTGAGCTCCGAACTTGGCAGTTTGGTAGCAAATGTTTCCTCAATATTTGAGGAGATATCGTCAGTGCGGACAATGCACTGACAATGTCAGTTTGCTACCAAACTGCCAAGTTCCGAGCTCAAATTAACAGCCTTGTTCAAAAATTATAAAACCCTATAGAGCTTAGAGCTTGATATTTTTGAGACCATTGCTTCTGAATAGATTGTGACCAAACTATTCATTTGTTTAACCTGTAATTTTTTTTAGTCCAGAAGATGAAAGAGAATGAAAGCTTTGTGGATATCCTTACCATATGTAATAACTCTCTCCCCAAATACATATATAGTAGTTTGCACACATTTTAATAAGGCTTGTTAAGTCCCCGTTCTTTAAATAAGCTCTTGAAGACTGAGAGTTAGAATTAGGAAAGTAAAAATTAGGAGACTGGTTGTGGTCAGACACTCTGAATAAAGAAGTACAACAAAAAAAATTTCCTTCCCCCGACAATCAGCTGTTCCGACTATCAGCTGTGGGGGAGATTTAGATTAGCTAGAAAGCAGGAAATCCAATATTGGATTTCTTGCTGTCTAGCTAATCTAAAAGCAAAGCTGAACCTTCCTTAGGACTGAAGCTTTTATTTTTCAGTGCAGACTCAGGTAGCAGATTGCAGAATGGTAGATCTGAATGAATCTGTGATTCTGGGAGCAACTCAGAATCTGCCTGCCTGCTTTGCCTGCTTTTGCTCTTTTTTTATAAAACAAAAAGTTGCTATTTTTTATAAAATATTCAATATTTACATAAATATTTACAATATTTATATACAAGCCACACCCAGCCAGTCAGTCAGCAAGCCATGGCCAGCCAGTCACATGACCACCAAGCCACACCCACAAATTAGGCCGTGCCCACAGAACAGGTGGTTAAGAAATTTGAATCTCACCCCTGCTTTGATAAGATTACTTGTGTGCCAAAAGCTATTTTTTATCTTAGAATTGCTTGATTCTGTAGTAGAGGAAGTTAAATTTTAGGTACCAGAGAAAGTATACTGACTACCACATAATTATTGGAAGGGATCTAGGGGCCATCTTCTGACATATCTTCTAGGTACGTTGGTGCATAATTTTATTTTAAAATGATACAACACCCTTTGATAGGATGTTCCAGAGAAAAATTTGGTCTCAACATAACACACAGGAAGTGAAGGAGTGCACAATATTACACTGTAACAATGGCATCTTTTATACTGGATATGAAAATGAGCCCAAATTCATAGTGAGGCAAATCAAGCATACATCAGAGTGTATCAGCTTTTGAATTTTGTGGAGTAATGTCCTGTTTCCCTGGCCCTCAACACCAGAAACAATGTCATGGAAAACTGCAAGCTTGTACATAATTTTAGCACCTGGGGTTGATCTAATAAAACTGCTTACCCACAGGGCTTAGGTGCCATTCATGTAAAGTGGAAATACAATATTTTGAGAAGGTTAACTGTACTGTCTAGGTAAATGAAGTTAAAACACACAGAAAATATATAACACAAAACACAGAATCCAAGAAATATCTCTAGGAATATATTCAGTAATCTCCAGATTACACGAGGAAGCTGCCCATGACATTCCCACCATAATCCATAATGGATCTCACAGGGGTGACCTCAAAAATGTTTCAAGATCTAAGGCTGCATCCCCATTACTTTGGAAGGAAAGCAAGTGGAGCCTGCCAATCAGCGTGAGAATAGCCGAAGGGGCCGTTATATGGTGGTGAGGAGAGCCCGGAATCCCCTGGTTCAGCCAGCGGTTATTTCAGTCGGGTGGGTTCAGCGACCGCTTGGAAGGAAAATCCCCACCTTCTCCCGCTCGGTGGCCGTGCCTCGATTTGCGCCGGAGCAGCGACTTAGCGAAGCGACTTCCCGCGAGGAGTGTCTTGGCTCTCCTGTCAGCGGCCCTCGCCTCAAGTAAAACGCGTGCGAAGTTGGGCGCCATTTTTCTCCCTGGATGGACTATGAGCCGCAACTTTTGCCCCACCGCCTTTTCCTTCTGGGCTTCGCTTTTGTTGTTCAGGGAAGTCGCGCCCAAAGCCCTGTCCTCCCAGAATCTTTCTGACGGTGAGCCTTGGGTCTTGGCCCATCTTCGAAGGGCGTTGAGCTCGGCGGTTGATCGCCACCGTGCTGCTCAGGACGGGATAGCCTGACAGATCGAAATTAATTGGGGAGGGGGTGTTTCTGTGCTGGGATCTACTCGAAAATAGTTATAATTTACCTGTTCCCAGCTCTTGGGGAAATGTCGGTAATTACGCCATCGTAACTGGAGTGGGAAGCTCAGAAATAAAGCAATTAAAGATTCGGGACTATGGGTAGTAACAGAAGAAAGAACGCTGAGGCCAAGGTTGTTTGTAATTTACATGCTAAATTATGTCTGACGCGTTATCAGTTCTAAAATTGGTCATAACTGAATGCAATTTGGGATCATTGTTTAGATTTTGTGCCTCATTTACCCATGTATTGAAACACGGGTAAAAGATCCTATACCCGATGGAATTAAGTTCGAATATTTATGTGATACCTAGTTTTGTTTTCAGCTACATTTCACCATTCCCCCTGTTGATTCTGGTGTATTTTTTGTGTGTAACACACTCAACCATAAATTAACTACAGAGGCTGTCCAGATACAAGTAGGCCAAGATAAAATTGGCTAGTAAATATATATGGTTTAGAGTAGAGTCATACAACCTAAATGGGAGTGATTCAGTTTCTCAAATCTTTCACTCTTGTTTCATTTCTTATAGAAAGTGGTTTTGTTAAATACTGCTTTAACTACTTTATACTGCTTTAACTACTGTTAAACACTGCTTTGTTGCTACATGAATGCCGTTTCTTACATGGCTAACTTATTTTTCTTTGATTTCTAGTATGTGGAACAAGGCCTCTTATGAAAAATACAGCAACAGGAACTCGAATTGTAGGTGGACATGATGCTATGCTAGGAGCATGGCCTTGGCAAGTTAGTCTTCAAGTTTATGCAATTGGTCTAGGATATGTCCATATATGTGGTGGATCTTTAATTAATAAAATCATAGTGTTGACAGCAGCACACTGCATTAAAATGTCAGAGTATGTATCTTTCCATTCTAATACTTTTTCTTCAATTTGGGTGTGATAAATCTACTGACCAAAGAAGTATGGACCAAATATTATATAATTATGTATGAAAAACGGAGATTTAACATTTCTTTCCTAGCTTATACAGAATTGAGTTTTGAAGCAGGTGTACCTTCATACTACTTGTCAAGGATCTAATAAAGGAGAATATTTGTCAAGGATCACACAGATAGAGTGTAGAGGGAATTTTGGTGCTTTCAACAGATTTGTTTAATTATTTGATCTGAAGCTTTTTCATATCCAATCCTAGAGTAATAAAAGACTCATATTCAGAGCTACCAGGACCAAACCTAATTATTTTAATGATAAATACTTGTGTGCAAGAATAAGAGAAGAGGAAAATATTTTTAATTGTTATGAGCCATTTCCCATTATTTTACAATAATACTTACCTCTGCTTTAGCATATATTATATTCAATTTTTAAATTTTTCTGTTTCCTACAACTACTTTATTATTCCATGATTTAACTTACCAGTTTTATATGGCTCATCCAATTTCTCCATTTAAAACATCTGGTTCTCAGTTCCTTTAGCATCTCTGGTGGACAGCAATGAAAGGAAGAAATCTGCTTGCTTGGACCCTTAGATCATCAAGCAAACATCTTTATTACACAGTAGCCAAACATGACTTTTGGAAGCTGAATCACTAATATGCCTCCTTCACTGTTACAAGTTGAAGATAATAAATATTTCTAAGATTAGCAGCCTTTATTAATTTGATTTTTTTTGAATTTGTTCATTTTCTTTTTTAAATAATCTAAATCAGTGACCATCACCTTATGTTGTTAAATGATCACCTCCTCTCAAAAAGGTAAATATGTATATGTCCCAATAGCTTGCACACCCTCTCCAAGCTGTCTGTTCTTTCCTCCCCACCCTCTTGTATCTTCTCATCCTATAGCAGTCACATGCATGCCAGCTTTCTTGCAAACTGCCTGGAACTTGCAACTTCCTGCTGGGTTCCCACTGACTTTGTTGGAAATTAGCAGGAAAATGTGAGGAGGTGTTCACTTTACGTCCCAGGATATTCACTTAACAATGACATTGGGGACTGTAGGAATTTCTGTCTAACGCAGTCACATGATGTTACAGTTTGACTGCATCAATTAACAATGGAAATTCCAATTGTCATCATAACTTGAGGACTATTTGTATTACATTTCTGCTGTTGTATGGCTTACCATTCTTGCAAAACAAACTTACCAACAATGAAATCTCATGTATTCTACCAGCACATTTGTGACTATATTAGTGAAACTATTTTTTCTAGCTACCCTTTTTTGCTTCCTATATCTTTTCCACAGACTACCTCCAGTTTTCTTTTCCATTTACTCTTACTAGCCATACCCTTCCAATCCTTTTAGACTACATGTGAACTGAATTCAGTGAATTAATTACACCTGCCAACAAGTCTCTAGGGGAGTGTAAACACTGAGCTCAAGCTCCTTCCTTTGCTGCTAATCTTCTTATGTCTAAATAATGTCTAATAATACTTCGCTGTTCTTAGTATTTTGCCTTATTTCCCAATATATTGAAACATCAAACATTTATAAAGAAAAATGTACAAATAAAAATTATTTTAAAAATTATGTTACAATTAGCTGCCATCTTATGAGTCCCAAACATTAAAGGATCTCATTGTATTATCTTCTCATAAGTAGTATCAGTTGTTTAAACATTTCAGTTGGTTCTCTATTAATTCTTCCTGAAATATTTATGTTTATTAGATAATTCATTCTTTATTTTTGAGGGTCAAGAAACAATATCTCTTCCTTGTTGAAATAATTGAAAGGAAACCCCACCCCCCTTTTCTATCTTATTCCTCTTTTTAATAATAATGGCAGAGCTGGTATCTTGAAATGTAACACTTGATTTCCATTCCAGTTTATTCTTTTTAGTCCATGGGCTTTTTGCTGAATTTTCTGTTTCTACCTGATTTTTTTTAATGAATATATTATCTCTTGGCTTTTGCAGTTGATTGAATTTAAGATAAGAATCTCTATCAGCACATTGCATTTGAAAACTTTAAATCTGATCACTTATTATTTAAGTTTTAAATATCCAATTAAATTAGCCCTTTCTGCATTTCCCGTGATTCCTATCAATTCTCAGAAAATATCATCTGTGATAAATCTGTGTATAGCCAAATCTAGTTAGTGTCAGTAACATTTTCTGGACCTTTCTCATAACTAAACTCATTTCCCATAATGACAGCATATAGTTTGTTAGCTATTTGGGGATCTTTAAATCTTGAGAAGACAAACCTTTTAGTTGTGTATTTGTTCAAACATGGCAAATCCTTTCAAATCCAAATGTCTCATTTATCCAATTTCTTGTTTAAATTTCTTAATTGTATTTCCTATTAAATCATCCTCAAGGCTTCTTGAGCAGCACTCAGCCTTCAGACCACTGACAGGGATTTTCATTCTCTGTCATCTCTTTTTCACTGCCAGAATGGGATGTTGTTTGAGTCATCTTAGTGATCTATGTAAGACTTAATTCTTCACCATTTCAGGGATTACCTTTCTTAAGACATTTTTACTGTTAATATGGCCAATTAATCAAATATTAATAAAACATAAATGACAAAAATTATCAAAAATCGGGCTGTGAGAAGAGCAATAGGCTCACCATGCTGTCTTCTCCACTCACTTCTCCGCCATTGTTTTCCAAATCTGATGGATGGATCCAGGCCTACATACACAGGTGGGATTCAGCCTGTTTTCCACTGATTCTCCAGAACTGTTAGTTAATTGCTTATGCAATTCGGTGAACCGGTTAAAAATAAAGTGCAAGGGAAGTTTTTTTTCCTCTCTCGCCTCAGTTAATAGGTCCAGACAGACAGCCAAGAACCACTTAACAATTGCAGCTGGAATGCAGCCATACATGCTGAATCAAGTCAATAAACAACAGAAACTGACAGGATTAGGGCAGGAAAACCCATCAATCACCCATCTAGGGATGGGATTAACTTCTTCCCTTCTGGAAGGACAAGATTATACAAATTTTCATTATAAAGAATATTAAGTAACATTTCTGTGATCAGCTGATTTTCCCTGGAGTTCCCCAAGACCTTTTATAGCTGCTGCAGTATTGGCTGCTACTTGTTTCTTCCTGGGGGAAAAGACACAGGAGGCGATAATGATGCAACTTGATCATACAGGCTGTGAATGTAATGCCTGTGTGGTCCAGCCAGCTGTATTGCTTCTGCTGTGAAGCACCCAATTCGGAACATAGACATAGAATATTAGAGTTGGAAGGGTTAATGGCTTTTGGCAGCATTCAGTTAGCTTGAGCTGCTGCTCTTAGTTTCCCTCTCAGCTGCTGCATTTGCTTTAGGGTTGACTTTTTTTTTAAAGGGGAAATGGCTGTTTTAAGTTTTCTGCATTGTTTTAGTAGTTCCTGGCACTGTCCTTTTGGGGTGTACTTCCCTCACTCTTTTTGAAAGCTTCTAGTGATGGAGCACCTACAACTTCTGAAGGCAAGCTATTCCATTGGTTGATTCGTCTCACCGTTAAGAAATTTCTCCTTCTTCCTAGGTTGCTTCTCTCTTTGGTTAGTTTCCATCCATGGTTTCTTGTTATGCCTTTTGGTGCTTTGGAAAATAGATTGACTCCCTCATTTTTGTAGGAGCCCCTCAAATTTCCTGACAGAACAATTAATCAGTGGAACAACTTGACTCCAGAAGTTGTAAATGCTCTAACACTGGAAATTTTTAAAAAGAGATTGGATAATCATTTGTCTGAAGTGGTATAGGGTTTCCTGCCTAAGCAGGGGGTTGGACTAAAAGGTACCTCCAAGGTCCTTTCCAACTCTGTTATTCTATTCTAAATATTGGAACAGTGCTATTTTATTGTGAATTGGACTAAGGAGAAATTTCCTAAGGGTGAGACCAATCAAGTTGGCCATGCCCACCCAGTCACATGACCCATTTCCCACAGAATCTTTGTGGGAGCCACAAAACTTGGGGAGGTGTGGCTCGGGGGGGGGTGTCATGTGACTGGGTGGGGGTGACATTGAGTTGGCCATGCCTACCCACTCACATGACTGCCCAGCCATGCCAACCTAGCCATGCCCACAGAACCAGTAGTAAAAAAAATTGAATCCTACCACTGCCTACATATATACATTATTTTTCAGCTAGCTGAAGGATGCATGGATAACACTGTTTCAACAGTTGGAAGGATTTTTGGCAGCACCTTAACCAAGCCCCTGCTGAGTGCAAAATCCACTGGAGAATCTTTGGTGGATAACCATCTGGCCTCTGCTTGAAAATCTCTAAAAAAGAAAAACTTACAGATGTGGCAGCTTGTTCTAGTAGCTGATGGCTTGTAGACTTAAGAAATGCTCAAATCATTTTTCTGTAGGTTAAGCATTTAGATCCTGTAGCTGTTCATCATAGGGCTTGGTTTCCAGACCTTTCACCATATTGGTGGCCTTCTTCTGAATTTATTTCAATTTGTCTGTGGCCTTTTGGAACAGAGTATTCCAGTATTCCAGATAAATTCTCAGAACAGTAGAGTGAAGTAAATGCTGTCAATGATCTAAAGTCTGTTCCAAGGTATCATTTGCTTCTTTAGAGAATCACACCACTAGTTTAGGATTAACTTGTGGTCCATGAGGACACTCAAAGTTGCTTTTATGTGTATTATTTATTTTTAGATTTAAACAGAGAAATAGGTATTTCACAAAAGACAAAATGATGTCCAGAGAAATACAGACAGGAAAAAAAAACACCTGCCTATTCCACCTACAGACAAACCATATACCCCAGCACACCAGAACAAAAGCACAATGTATAACAATATGGGAGGGGATAAAGAACACATCTCACTCTCTATCCCCAATCATTTTACCTATCACCATTACTTCTGATACAGGATTTTCCCTGCCAGCCTAAGCTTATCTTTCTTCTGGGTATCCAGGCATGTTTCAAACATTTTGTACAGCCAAATATATTAGAGTTCAAAGACACTTTGATCTTAAAAATGTATTGAAGTTTGTTCTTTACTTTGCAATATATCAGCCTAAAATTTAAATTTAAAATACTGGAAAGGACACTAGCATTACTTGTAAATAGTTGTGACATTTCAGAAACTGATTAAACCTGGTCTATGGCCAGGTTAATGATTTGATTAGTTTTGATATAGAAACTGAATAAAATTGAAACTTTTATATTACTTTTACAATCTACAGCGCTCCAGCATCGCTGATACTCATACATACACACACACACATACACACACACATATCTACATCTTTTTTCATAAATTACCTTTATATTTAATCTTTACTTCTGTTTTCTAACCATCTATACCATGTGTCCCAGACCAAATAAAATTCCGTTTCCCCTCTTTCTTTTAATTCTAATGTTAGTTTGTCCATCTCCACACAATCCAACACCTTTTTTATCATCATTCTCTCAGAGGGCGTGCTGTCCTGTTTCCAGTTTTGCGCCTATGCAATTCTGGCTGCAGTCATTATGTACAATATAATACATTGAATTTTCTTGTTATGGTTTCCTCTTATTATCCCTAGTAGAAATAGTTCGGGTTTTATCTCAGTTCGTTGACTCGTGATTTCCTCTAGCCATTTTCTTATTTTGGTCCACTACTTCCTAGCTTCCAGACAAGTCCACCACATATGAAAAAAATGTACCTTGGTTGTGTTTGCATTTCCAACATTCTGCAGATCTATTTGGAAACATTTTTGCCATAGATTGGAAAATACTTTCATTGGCTATAAATAATGCTGAGTATATTCTACCATCAGAGAGACATATGTAGATTTTCTATAAGCATCTGAGCAGTAGTTACTATGGGAAGCAGGATACTTAATTGAGTGAAGTGATAGTATATATGTATGTATAAAGAAAGAATTTTTTTTATTGGTGTTTCTGTCATTTTCTGCAGTGATCCTTGTTTTAGCCACATAATTCAATTTTAATCTGTACTGAGTGATTTATTGTTCATGCTGAATGGAATAAAATAAACCAATGTCCATGTCATAGAAGTTATAAAATAGCAATGTATAATAAGAGCAATAATCCCTATAGAAGTTTTGTTCTGTCATAGGAACCCAGCCATTTGGAGGGCTGTAATTGGCTTGCATAATCTTAATGAAGATAACTCTCATACAATAAAACGTCGGATTAAAGCTATCAATATACATCCTAATTATATGGCAGACACACATGACAATGATATTGCATTGATAATATTAGTCAGATCTATCAAATTCAATGACTATGTTCACCCGATCTGCTTACCTGCCACAAATCTTTTGAAAAATCAACAGTATCCCTGTTACATATCTGGATGGGGTAAAACAAAAGAAAAAGGTACTTTTCTATTATTTCTGTGACGTTTATATAAAGACAATGTACAAACATCAGATTAAAAATTACTGTGCAACAAAAACGATCAGTTAAAACTAACAATATATAATAAGAGTAAACATGTCCCACTGTATTCATAATAGTTTTTTGATTCTCTTTTAAAGTGTTAAGAATATTAAGTTTTAGCAAATGTTTTTGCTGTTACTATATACTATTCATGGCATTTCACATGTTTGTAAGAAAACTAGGCTTGATTTATATTTCAGAGAATGCTGAAAATCTTGGATAATGAAATTAGGTTTTTACAAATATAGGGCACAAAAGGGCTATTTTCATTTTGCCACTGGGCCTCTATCTAAAAGGTCACCAATCTGGATTTATATGCAAGCCACTAAACATGTAGAAGCAACTTTTGTTTTCTAACCAATTTTTCATCCTTTCCCTAAATGTTGCACAAGATGATTTGCAGTAAAAGGAAAGGACAGAGAAGAACTCTCAGCAGATTGGATTTGGAGGATATTCCCTCTGCCTGAACTAAAAAGGCCCTTCAATTTCAGTTTTAACTCCTGTGACTTACAATTAAAATCATGCAGTTTTCTTTGCAGCAGTAGAGGAATAGTTTGGCATTGCTTGTTTTTTAGGCCAGCTCAATAACTACTACAGGTAAGCCCTTGGTTAATTTGTTCAGTAACTGTTTGAAGTTGAAGTTAAAGTTACAATGGTGCTGAACAAATATTACAATTTGTTCTAAAGGTTCGGGCTGTCCCAGCACTCCCATAGTCATGATTGCAATCTTAATGCTTGGCAACTGGCTTGCACTTAAGAGGGTTGCAACTGTTCACTCCTCATTCTCTCTTCCACCCAGCAGCAGCCAGTTACCTGCCTGACAGCCTACCTGCTGGCTTCCCACTAACTTTAGTTGTTGGAAGCCAGCAGGAAATGACAAGGAGTCAAAATTACATGTTGACTTAATCCACGATCCTGGTTTAATAGCTGTAAGAGGAACTGATGAGATTGCTGTGTAAGTGATGTGGTCATGTGCTGGATTGCTTAGTGATGGAAATTCCGGACCCAATTGCCTTTGTATCTTTAGAACTACAGGATTTGTATACCAAACTGACTCTCATTAGGTTAACTAGTGCTTCCATCTCCTCAAGTGCTCTACAAATTACAGCTTACTAAATTCAGCATCCTCTCTCATATAGGATTTTGCAATAGGTGACATAGTGAGAGCTTCAGCAAATGACAACATGTGGATACCCAAATGAAAGGTTTTCAAAGACTAATACTTGTGCTGTAGGCTAGAGTGGGAAATTAAAAGATGTCTTAAGAAGAAGGAAGTAAGAAACTACTTTTGTACTGTTGCCAAGAAAATTGTGTGGACATCAGGAGTCAAACTCAACTTGAAGACTTTACCTAGACATGGTGAGGTTAGCTGCATACAGTTACATTGAAACCAAATTGATAGCCTAATTGCACTCTTAAAATATGAAATGGTTCTTACATCTTTTCTGGGCGCTGAACTCTGAAAGATCGCCCTTCTCATTCAGATCATTGTAGTGATCAGTAGCAGCTCTTCTTACTGCTAGATGAGGTCACTTGCCTGTTAAGAATACATTCAGTTCTGCTCCTGACCTTACTAATAAGATATGAGCAACCTGAGCAGATGTATGATCCACAAAACATTTGCTTTTTTAATCTTACAAACAAAAAAGGACTGCCTATTTAGAATGTTGATGAATCTGGCTACTTCTACCTTCCATTTGAAACTAAAAAACAACCATCAAAAGATTGCAGTAGTGTTTAGCCTGCTAAAGATTAAATGTAAGGTTTGCTACCCAAGCAAAGTACCTTCAGCACCAAGAATAGCACACTTTGTCATCTTTATAATTTGCAGCATTTCTGTTAAAATGATAGGCAAATATAGTATGGTGTAGCTAAATTAATGATTCTAAACATTTTGTTTAATTACACCCTTTCCCCTTAGTTAATTTTGTTTAATTACACCCTTTCCCCTTAGTTTTCCATACCTTCTCCCCATCCATCAGGCATCCATCCATTCTGCAACAAATAAACATGTTTGATCATAATTACTTTTGTTAACTCTCTCAACCCAACTTAATTTTTCTCGGTATAATTTGTCTGGCTTTTGTAGAGTTTATTGGACCCATATACTGAAAGCTGTTTGGTCCTCAACTTTGAGAGGGCAAATAACACTGAAACTAATTTATGATAAAAAATCTAGCAGCTATCATCACCACACATATAAAACTGCCTCTGAAATTTCAGAAATATTTTAGTAAAAAACCCACCAAAATAGAGGAAGTAGGAGTTTCACTAATTTAGCAGACACCAGCATTTTTTAAACTTTATTTTTTAACAATTTTAAACTTTAAGGGGCAATTGGTTTGAAGGAATACAGGTATACAATCTTAGTTTGATTTCAAAGTTTTGGATACAGCTATTACAGTATTAGATCTTGGTTCTTTTTTCTGCATCTATCAGAAGAAAGAATTACCTTGAGAAATCCTTAAAATTAAAGTGATATCTTCCTCATCAGGATTAGAATTTTACATGAAATAAATCCCACTATAATTTAAGCTTCATTGCATATAATTAATAGCTAGTTAATATTTAATTCTTTATTTAATTGTCTTAATTATCTTACTGATCCACTCTTTAGATAACTCTGCCTACTACTTCAGGATTGAAGCAGATATTAAAATTACTTGCCAAGCCCAATTAAAATTTAGACACCTTTTCATATATATCACTGTTGGATGCCTTGATTTTTTTGTAAAACTAACACTGTATGCCTTGATTTTTTTGTAAAAGTAAAGGCAGGAGTCAAATAAATGAATAAACATACTTAATGTCATAATAACTACAAGAATAAAATAAATCTTAAAAATCTAGCCTAAAGCACTGGGGTGTAATTAGACCCTGGTTTTACTGATTCTTATTTCGTCTTTTTGAACGCAACCACATTGACTATACAAGTAAGATTGAGCACAAAATTGAAGTAATAAAAATAAATCCTACACCATTACAAACTAATGACAAAAGGACAACAAAGCCTTTAAGATGTAACAATTCATGAGAATAGAAATAAAAGGAACAAAAATCTTAACCCTTGTTCTGTACAATCTTGGGTTCTATTTGGGATGCCAAATAAAATTAAACCCAACTCCAAAATATTAGAATTAATCTTGAAGATTATTTTGACCAGCAGTATACTTTCCAGAGTGTTAAGTATAATGTAAGCTTGGTAAAGAAAGACTTAGATGTCTTAAATAGTGACCGATTTGTTTCACAATGTCATGATATGTTATATTTTTTTACAGGTGAAAACAACTTAATATTGCAAGAAGCTCAAGTAGATATTATTCCACAGAAAATGTGCAATAAACTCAGCTGGTATGGTGGAACAATTACATTGAATATGATCTGTGCTGGCTTTCTAGATGGAGGTGTTGATAGCTGCCAGGTAAAAGAAGATAATTTCAGGTTAGATTATGTTGACAAAGCTTGCTGTGCTGGTGCTTGGATAATATAGCCTGTTATTTCCTTACTGCATATTTCCTTACTATCTAGGCTCCTGATTTGAAGCAGATTTTCTGACATTTTATCAAAGAGAAGAGAAACAGACCTTGCCCTCATGTTACCAATCTAAAAAATATACAAGTGAAGGGAAGATGAGGCAATCGTTTATTCAAAGTAGAAATAATATGCTAATGTTCATACTAGGAAGACCAGACTTGTTTTTGGAGTTCTTCCTTGAATAGTTGTTTGTGATATTTATTCCTTTGGCTAAAGGAGGGGGCGAAAATTAATTTCGTTGATGAATGGAATCAAAATAAGCTGACCTTCTGTTTTCCAGTTCCAGGACAGAACCACTGAGTTCTTTATGCGATAAAGTGGCCGAGCAAGTTTCCAGCTTTTATTCTTTTCCTATCTCTCCAACCAAAATGAAGACTTATGACCAAGATTACCTAGATGTATGTCAGAGTAGCAACAGAAAAAAAATGTTATCATTTCAAGCACAAAAATTATTATTGGAAATTATACATTTCTAAGTGATATCTCGATTAATTGATCCATTGGGATAGCTCCATCTTATATCAGTAGACATAGCCAAATGTCTGTTATTTCCAAGGAAAGTGGTATCCTTATTACTTAGTCTTCATCTGTGTACTAACAGCACAGAATCTTAAGGTTTGGACTAGATGACCAACTAGGTCCCTTCCAACTCTGTTAATCTGTATCTGTCTTTTTTGGATTAGTTTGGAGACTAGGTAGATTGGTGTTTCTTAAACTTTTTGATCTCAGGACATCTCACTTTTCATTAATTCTTTCATTTTGGTACCTTCAAATCCCTTTTTGATCCTGACACCTACCTAGACAACTATTTCCTTGGTTTTTTTCAGAAGTGGTTTACCATTGTCTGCTTCCTAAGGCTGAGAGAGTGACTGGCTCAAAGGTACCCATCTGGCTTTGTGCCTAAAGGAGATCTAGAACTCAGTCTTGCAGTTTCTAGCTTGTTGCCTTAAACACTACACCTAACTAGGTTTCTTTAAAAATTATGGAGAACTCCAAAAGAGCTGTTGTTTGTACAGTTTTATTTATTGATATTTGTGATATTGATAAAATTGACACTTTTGTAGAACATATATTGCATCATGTAAAAATAGCTGTATTAAACCGTTAAATATTCCAATAAATACTAACACTCCCAACTAAATTCATAGAATCAAAAATAACTTAGATTGGGCAACATGTTGGAAGATTTGATGACTATTAAGAAGAAATAAAAAGAGAAATGTGGTTTTATTACCAAAGAATTGATAGAAAAATGGTTTGGCCAGAAAAAAAAATTGGGGCCAATGTTTTCCAAATTGGCAAAGGACTCTGTCTTCTCAACCCATGAAAATTACAGAAACCATAGAGTTCTTTTAGATGATTACCCATTTTATAGACAGCCACTTCAGCAGTTTAGAATTAACCTCTAGTTCTATGAAATCTGAGCAGAAACTTGGTTGTTCTCCCAGGCCTTAGGATGGGATGGTTATGGGATCCCTCTAGGACTAGGTCAATTTCATTGTATTTAGTCTTCCTGTTGCCTTTCCCTCTTTGTGTGTTGTTTTCTTTTTAATTTAAGCCATATAAATAATTAAGGAATCAATCTGTTTCAAAATGGAGTTAAACAAATAAAATAGTGTCATCTTCATATTGGATATTTTTAGTGTTTCTGCCTTCTGTTTTGATTTTAACTGTCATCTTTCAATCTAGCCATTCTTAAAATATATTCATTTGATATGTTCAACAGATATGGGAACAACATGTCCTTGCATCACTCAATTCTGAATCACTCATTCTCTAAATTTGTTTCTTACAGTAGCTTCTTGTCACTGTAAAACTTCCTGAGAAAACATAACCAGATGTTTTCCGTTGTGGTGGAGATGGCATCCAGGATTGGGTTGTCAGTTGCTGCTAGCTGATTGGACTGAGTCTGTCAGATCTGTGAGGACACTTCCCTGTAACTAAGGGTCCCCAGAAATTGACTCAGTCAAGCAGCTAAGACGATGTGTATTTGATTGCTGCACAGTAATTGACTTTAAATACAGAAATTATAGCTAAAACTAATCCTGCATTCTATCGAGGTTACAGCCGGCCCAGTCTACTAGTTAAGCGGCTGTCAAAGGAACGATTGGTTGGGGCTTCGGTCCGGTTCGGCTGGGAATGGGTCGGCTGAGGGCCGATCTGCATCAGTAAGAGGTATCTCCACGGTGGTGTGACAGAGCAAACCTCCACACTGTTACCATGATAAGTTTGGGAGGGCTTGTGGCGGTTTCAAACAGCCACCTCAGAAGCCTTTAAATTACCATGGCAGCGTTTTTAAAGGGAATGTGAAACCAGCTGTCCTTCTAGATTGCAATTTGACAGGTTTCCGATCTTGCCCTGGTTTAACTGTTCTGGTGGGCATTTTGTGTCCTCATATCCATAGGCAGCAAGCCCCTAAGGTAGTTAGGTTACCTGTTATTATAGAAAATGGTGGACTCAACAGAAAATGCCGGCCGTGCGAACGGGAGAGCAGAGGAAACAGCTTGCAGGTTATTACGCTCTCTCAGCCCTACAATGCAAAATGCTTCAACATCATGTGAAGCCCCCAAGCCAAAAGACAAAGCTGCAGGGGCACAAAAGAGCTCCAAGGCAACAGAGCGGGATGAGTGTTGCAGGGACGGGATTAAACAGGCTGTGGGCTAAGGGACAACAAGAAGCAGCCCCCAAAAGCCCAGAAGAGTGCCTAACAGCACGATGACAGATTCCCGCCAAAATGAGGAGTGGCCGTTGGAGAGAAGAGCCAGGTCTCTTCAGTCTGACAGGAGGCAATTGCAAGAAACAGCCACTGGGGGAGCTGAAGAGCAGTGTCTTTTACAAGATCCTTTTGACATTTCTGAAGGAAGGAATTTTTTCTTTGTCTGCCCAGCAACTGAGCAATTGACAGCACCTGCCCAGAGACCCAAAGTGGCCCCAGAGGCTACTTTCACACCCACTGCTGCGGGGCTCCATCCAGCCTGAAATACAAATCAAGATGCAGGCTGTGTTAGCTGAGGCAGTGTATTAGCTGCCTTTAAAGTAAATCTGTCGATCACCTTCTGTGGCTTCATGTTCCTCCTCAAAACATAGCATGAGACAAAGGTCCCATTTTGAGGATGATCTATCTATGTATTCAGAGGCTGATTCTTATGCTCCTTCTCAGAGTGGCCACTCTAACCCATCTGACATGGGGGAATCAGACAGATAGAGATTTTTCTGATGATGAAGGCCTGGATTCTGAACAGCCTATAATTCAGGGTTTTTCCAACCTGCCCTGTTTAAATCGCTCCTCTTCAAAGCAAAAAAAGCCACAGGGCAAGGTAGGGCTCTGGCTCTACTGGAGCCAGCAGATGCATCTGAAGACTCCAACAACCCACTCTTGAGAAGACCATAACTCCTGATGTTATCCCCTCACCAAGGATATTTACTACTGTGATCCAAAGGCAATAGTCTTCTGGGTCAGGACCAAGCCCATCTTAACTTGATAGGAAGTTTGTTCAGTGTGGGAGCACTTTTCCAGAGCATTGGAAATGCCCACAGTAGATGCCCCTGTAGTTGCCCTGTAGTCTAATTCTTAGATATCTGTGAGCCTGAAGACTCATTGAGAGCTGAAGAGAAGTGGGCAGAACAAACACTGCAAAAGACCCATCAATCAGGAGCCTAGGGGGTGAAGGCCTCCACTGCAGAATCATTTTTCAACAGAGCATCTCTTATCTGGCTGTGTGAACTGTAGGAAAGAATTCCAGCTGGCGATGTGAGATCTTATCAACACATCAATAAACTCTTGACAACTGTTGAGTTCTCTGCTGATGGCACAGGTTCGCTTCAAAGGGGATAGGATCATCTGGCTTCTGACCTTCTGCTCTGGCTCAGGCAATGGCAGGCAGACATGAGGCATAAATTGAAGTTGGCCACTGCCCCCTTCTAGGGGCATAAATTATTTGGAGAAGCCCTGCACAACATTCTGGTGGGCTCCAAAGACAAGGGGAAGATTTTACCTTCCAGGTCAAGAAGGGGTGACCTGGCATCCGCTCGATGCCTTATTTTTGTTGTCCCTCCTTCAGGGTGATGGAAGCTGGAGTGGGGTTTGCTAGATCCCAGAGACCTTTCATCCCCAGACAGGAACAACAGCAGGGCCGGACAGGTAGAAACTACCAGTACCAGAACAAGCAGCCCTTTCAAGAGGGAGGGGGTCATCCCTTCCAACACCCTAGAAAAATCTTCTGTCACACCTCCCATTGGGGGATGTCTGGCTTTGTTTGCCAGGCCTTGGGAGGAAGTAACCACAGATTCCTGGGTCCCGGAGATGATCTGATTGGGCCTTTTTTAGAATTCCTTTCCATACCCCTGAGGTTTTTCATTTGTTGCCCTGTTTCTAGGAACAGGGAGAAAAGGGTTCTCATGGAAACAGCTATCCAGCACCTGCTGGAAATCTATGCTATCCAGCCGGTGCCTGAGGACCAACAGGGGATGGGGTTTTATTCCATCCTGCTTGTCATACCAAAGGCCTCAAGGGGATGAAGGGCAATTCTAGATCTGAAGCATCTAAACCGCCGACTAAGATACCAGTGGTTCAAGATGCATTCTCCCCAGTCTATTCTGGATGGAATTAGGGAAAGGGACTTCCTCATCTCTATAGATTTAACAGAAGCCTATCTTCATGTCCCTATATTACCTACCCATAGGCAATTCCTCAGATTCTTCTATAATGGCAGACATTTTCAGTACAGGGCTTTGCCCCCTTTGGTCTTTCGTCCAGAACATTCACGAAACAGTTAGCAGCTCACCTTTAGGGCCCAGTGATATCTGGATAACATCCTTGTCCAATCCTCTTCTGCATCACAAGCAGAGGAGGACTTGGGGATTACTATCTAGGTGCTCCAGGAGCAG